AGTGGGTTGTTTTGTAGTGTTGTGGTTTTTTCCATTCTTTTATATGGCCGACAACTATTCCATTACATGGATATACCAATGAGCTCTGGTGGCGAAAGGATTAAACTCTCCACTGCTAACCTGGAGGCCAGAAGTTCGAGCCCACCAGGGGCTCACACCCACCAGCAGCACCACAGGAGAAGAGAGCTGGTAAGCTGCTCCAGCGAAGAGTATCGTTCCGGAAACCCTATAGCTCAGCTCCACTGTATCCTACAGGGCTGGTACAGGTCGGAGTGGGACTGGACTCAACAGTACCCACCAACAAGAATATCCCACACTGGATTGATCTACTCATCTCTGAATGGGTCACTGTGAATAATGCTCTCAGCACTTGCATATCGCTATCTCATTTTCTGAGAAAGTGCCAAACTCTTTTCTACCGGGGCTGGAGCATTTTACAGTCAGCACAGTAAGAGGACCTCCACACCCGCACAAAAGCGTGCCTTCTTCTGTGGTTCCAAGGGCAGCCATCCCCGACAGCATGAAGCAGGGTCTGGCAGTGCCCTTCACCTGTTGGCACACACCTAGTCTAAGGGGCGAGATCCTGCCCACCAGCACAGGGAGTGAGATACAGACACTGTGAGCCTGGGCAGGTGCCACCCGTGAAGAGAAAACACAGGTGTGCAGGAAATGTCCGGGTTTTATACCAGTCTGGAAAGAGCTGGTGGAATCACTAGGTGATGATGCAAACAGTTAAACACTCGGCTATTCACTGGAGGGGCCTCAGAAGAAAGACCTGGCCATCTGCTTCTGTGCAGTCCCCGCTGGAGCGAGACCCCTGAGCGCACGGCTCGACTCTGACACACATGGGGTCACCAAGCATCAGAGCTGATGCAAACGCTCAATGAAGACAAGATTTATTTTAGCCTTAGCAAAGGAGTGGGGGTGCAGGCTGTCACAAACAGGCAGAGTTCGTTGAACTGATCAAGACAAGCCTTCCGCTAATCTCCAGTCCTGAGTCCAATTGTGGAGCAACTAGCTAGGTTGCTGGGCTTCGGGGCTTTTTGGTGTTGGGGTAGGGGGTAGGGAGAATGGAGGGACAAGATAGATAAGGAATGGGGGGGAAATTAAATTAAATTAAAAATGTTTTTTAAAAAAGAAAAGGAATGTGTAGGGTAACTAATGACCTGGCTGGAACCAAAACACGGGAATGGTTACAAGCCCCACTGTGCCATTTGGATACCACTCGATCATACTCCTCACCAGAAAAAACAGAAATCACACAACAGGTCCAGAAGACAGAGGTAAAAACCTGACCTTCCTTCCCTAGCAATAGAGAGAGCAAAGCAGCAACACACCGATGCCCGAGACGTCCAATACCCAACAGGCCCTGGCAGGCACTGACTGCCAAACCCAGCTTCTCCGTCTCCTCTCACATCTGTAATAAAGGGACCTTGCACTGCAAGTGCCCATCTCCTTCTGGGGCACGAGACACAGTTCCATGTCTTCCACACGCACGCTCAGCCTTCCTAGTGCAGAGAACAGGAAGCGTCCGTGAAAGGATTTTGTAGAAAATAGGTACTCATTTAGGGGGAAAATTAAAAAGCCCCTTGATGAGGTGCTGCCCCGCACACAGCCCCACCAGGGGACTTGTCCTCTGACTAACGAGAGCCCGATTCTACGCCCACCAGCTACAGCATTTGGGGCGTCAAGTTATACACAGTCTGCTGCTGTTTGCCAAAAGCACTTTCTGGTCTTGCGCTTTTGCTAATTGTTTCATGTATACAAATTATTTTTTCCTCCCCAAAGAAAACTGGTAACTGGCTTGAGAGCAAGGCTTGGTCTCATCTTTCAGTGGCCTGTCCCTCAGTCCGCAAGCCAGAGCTGAGCACCCAGGAGGGGCCAGCACACACACCCAGGGACCGCCCCCACTCAGCAGGTGGCCTCCCTCCCATGGAAGGCTCATGTGTTTTCACAAGTCACAGTCCCAGGCCCCAGGCTGGGGGTCATCTAGCCTGCTGCCAGCCTGTCCTGTACCCCCATCCTGCCTCATTAACCCTCGCCAACCCTGGGCGGACTCCTCCCCCTGGCACTCTCCCCCAGCTACTCCCCAGAGGAAGAAGCACTCACACAAGGCTGTCTGACTCTGCTGGTGCCCTCATTTAATCAGGCTTCTGCAAAGAGCTGGCCAAAAGCAATAAGGCCATGACTGAGAGACTGTGGGAGTTTAATATACAAAAAAAAAAAAAATAATTAACAGAAAAAGGGGGGTCAGGAGAAAGGGTCTACCTTTTAATAGGGCCCTAATTACCCAACTCATAGGATCAGCCCAAATGAGATGGGAGTTTATTTCGGGGTGGGTTTTTTTTTTTTTAATTATTGGGGTTTTTTTATATATATATAAATTGCTGCTATGAGTTTTCTTTCCTCTGAGCAATTATGCAGCAAGTATGTAAAGAGGGGAAAAAATATTAATTAAATATAAGATAATTGTGGAGTTGGCCTGGAGAGAGCGAGCCTGAACTCTGGACGAACACAGGCTACCAGGGTTTGAAGACTGCTCGGGGCCTCCCAGGGAAGGAGGAAATAACATACGACCACCCGAGCAGCAGATGCCCAGAACAGCCCCCAACGAGCCTCAGACAGCAATAGGACCCAGGAAAGGGCTCTCGCAGCACCAACCAGTCAGAGCAGTGAGCGTGCCCTGGGCTTCGGCACACTGCTAGCCAGGACTTCCCTAGAAAAGGTTCTTTCAACCCCACTCTCCTAGTGCTTACCCAACGGTGCCTCCAAAGCAGGGCCTGCCACTCATCTGTGCCTGCTCACTGCCGGCCTCAGTCCACCACAATCCGAAATTTAACAAAGTAAACATTTTAATGAAAGACTAAGAGGACTATTGTGTTCAATTGGGAGCTGAGTCTAAAACCAACCACCGTGTGGGCCTGAGGGGCCCCGGAGCCTTAGGCAGACTTCCTGGAAAGGCTCAGTCCCCCGAAGTGACAGACTGGCACACCCCACACCCCCAGCTGTGACTATAAAAGAGAAGCCAGGCAACACCCCCAAGGAGTGCAGCGAAGCCACAAGCCAAGTGGGTCACTGGGGCCCATGGGGCAGAGTGCACACCTGGGCACAGGAGCGAACGTGAATAACCTGGGCCTCTCTCTCGCTCGGCCAAACCCAAGCTGACCTTCCACCTGCGAAAACCTCGGGACAGAAGAGAATTGAGACTGGTTCCCGCCAGCTACGGACGCATGTCACTACCTCCCGCCGCACCCAGAAAGGCAGTGGACGCACCAGATGCTGGCACAGGGCGGGCTGCTCAGCCCTGAGCTTGCCAGCACTGGTCAGTGAGACATGGATCTGGGCCTCACGAACCGGCCCGCAGGGCCTACGGCAGACCTTCAAATCGCAGAACGGAATGAAATCGGGGCAGGCTGGCGAAGACTGGCCCCGGCCACCAAAGCAGAAGTATTTTGTCAAGGAGATTCTCTTTAGGGCTTCTCTTGGGGATATCACGAGAAGACCTTGTTGGTAAGGAATGATGATGTCGATAGGGTCCTTGGGCGGTGCAAACAGTTAAATGCTCAAAGGCTGGAGGCTGGTTCAAATCCATGCAGGGGCACCTCAGAAGAAACGCCTGGTGGTCTACTTTGACAGACACATCAGCTCCTGAAAACCGACGAGCATAGCTCTACTCGGACACGCTATGAGGTCCGCCACGCGTCAACTTGTTGTTGCTGTTGCCAGGTGCCGCGGAGCCAGTTCCGACTCATAGTGGCCCTGTGTACAAAAGGACAAAACACTGCCCAGTCCTGTGCCGTCCTCACAGCTGTCCTTGTAGTTGAGCCCATCCTTGCCAACCACTGTGCCAACCCATCCCGTGGAGGGTCTTCCTCTTTCCCACTGCCCCGCTGCTTTGCCAAGCATGATGGCTTTCTGTGGGGACAGGTCTCTCCTGATCACATGTCCAAAGTAGGGGACAAGAATTCTCTCCATCCTTGCCTCTCCTGAGCACCGGCTGTACTTTTTCCGGGACAGCAGTCCATGGTCCTGTCAACACTCTTTGCCAGCACCAGACGCAGTTCAAACGCACCCATTTCCCTCTGGTCTCTCTAGTCCATGCCCAACTTTCACATACATATGAGGTGATCAAAAATACTACGGCTTGGGTCCGTGGTGCACCTTATTCCTCAAAGTAACGCTCCTGCTTTTCAACCTTTTCAAGAGGTGCGGTGCAGCAGATTTTCCTAATGCCATGTGCCATCTGAACTCTTGGCTGCTGCTCCCCCGAGCACCGTTTACAGACCCACGTTTCATGTGCTTGAATCTGCTGTGAGTCGGAACGGACTCAAGGACAATGAGTCTGGTTTTTTCAAATCGATGGCAACTGGTGTTTACAAGTTGGGCTGCGGACTTCAGAGTCAGCCGTTGGAAACGACCAGCGGCTGCACAGGAGAGAGAGGGGCTTTCGACCCCCATAAACGGAGGCAGTCTCGGGCACCCACAGGGGCAGTTCTAGCCTGTCCTAATAGGGTCCCTATGAGTCAGCATGGACTCAATGGCGGTGAGGTCGGTGTGGGGTTGGTATGTTGGTGATGAAGATTACACACCTCATACTGTCATCGAAAACTAGGCAACCACCTGCTCTGCTCTTGAACTGTTCTTCAAAGGCCATGGAAGGGCTCTCCCCGGAAGGAGAAGAGAATGGCTCTTTCCGGGAAGGAAGCAGCCGCTGAGTTAGGTCCACCACCTCAGCAACCTCACGCCAGCTTGGCTGCATTTGGATTTAAGCATTTCACTTATTACTGCTGATCCACTTTCATTCCAGAAAAGGCCAGGCTGGACCAAGCAGACAGCTCATTCATCCCTGACCGTGCTCAGACTAGAAATCAGAAGTCAAAGCTCACCGGCACCAACTGTGAAAGGGACAGCCCGCGTGCAAAGTCATAAGAGCAGGTCTCTTTAAATGCACAAAGCATTTTCATTATTAGAAAATGATACCACAGATCGTGGGTACTTACCAGCGGCTCTCGAAGCAGCACATTTTCACTTCCTGGAGTAGAGCTTGGCTGCCAAAAAAAAAGGGCAGAAATAAAAGTAAGATCACAGTGCCACCCCATGGACATCTAAAAAACAAAGCCACACTGTTTTCAATGCGCACCAACCAGGCCACTGCTTTTTCACACGAACCACCAGGTTTGCCATAGCCACAGGGCATTCTGGGGTGGGCCACCTATAAGAAGTAGCCCAGGGTCTGGGTCCACCAGGGAACAAGCATGAAGAGATCGTTCTCACTGTCCCGGCAGTTCACACAAGGCTTGCGAGGGCCCGAGACCACCCACTGAGCAGCAGGAGTTAAGCTCCTCACAAAATCCCCAGAAGGGCAAGTCCAGGGAAGAGGCTTTACGAGGAACTATGCCTCCTGGCTGCCACCTCCCAACTCAGGCTGACTGGGAAGAAAACCAGGGCTAGAGCGGAGTGCCGGATTCGGCCACCAGAGGGCCCCAGTTACCCACGCTCAAGATTTTCTCTGAGCATCTACTTGCCACCCGGAAATAACAAGCAATTGACAGCCCCATTATTATTTAGCTCCTATTTATTCCCTCAGTAGTAAAGAAAGCCCCAGTCTTTCAAAATCTTTTTTGGAAATAAGATAGTGGCAAGTAGGTAAACAGACCAACCCACGGGCAGGCAGGTGCTTCCTGCTACCGTGGCCAACGAGCAGGTCTGGGCAGTTTGCAGCTGGTGTCCAGCCCTTCGACCTCACACTGACCTTCAGTCCTGGACTGATCGGATCAAAAGGGAGAGAAAGGGAGAGCTGGAGACAGAGACACACAGATGCTGAGAAAATTTACACATCTCCAAAAGACTCAAACCAGCAGTTTGCGTGATTTATGATTAGTTTACGGGTCCTGATGTTCAAGTCAATTTTCAATTATGTACAGATGATGTCCAGACAAGTGCAGCTAATCCATGCACCTCAGGAGCCATCCTCCATCCTCCTCCAAGCTAGTTCAGACAGCAACCCCTAGCTTCCTAGGAGGAAGGCTAGAAAGGATGAGAGGAGAGGCACCAGTCCCCAGAGGGCCCCAAAGGTTTCCTCAGGCCAGTGAGGCTGGCACAGGGCCAGCTCTGCTAACAGCTAGCGGGCTCTCGGAGAATGTGAGCTCCTACAACAAGAGGTCGAGTCCATCCACTGAGCCCTAACCCACTGCCGTCACGCTTCCTCCTGAGCTAACACGCCCCACAGCAGTTCCTCGACCACACGTCCTCTTCCAGTGATCCCACCAGTCTCTGCCGGCGAAAGACCTGCCATCTGGTCCCTAAAGATCACATTCATGAGAGCCCTAAGGTCAGTTCGACCCTGTCACACAGGGACACCGTGAGTCAGAATCAACTCCACCACCAAATGCTCACAGATCTGTAGCTTCTGACTTAATTCTCACAACAAATAGATGAATTTACTGCTGATGAGGAAACTGAGGTCCTGGGAGGCTAAATACCTCCTGCCCACGCTGACTCAGCTCCTGAGTGGTGCCATAGGAATGTGAGCCTTTACACTGTAGTCCAAATAATCAGGTTTGGGTGAGACCATCTTAAACAACCAACTTAATCTGATCCCATGAATAAAAATGCAGGTTATTTGACTAGAGGACTTAAGAAACAACATTCTGGCTTAACCCAAAACCTTCTTCCTGAGCTAGACCTAATCACTGTGAATCATTATCAACAAGGAACTTCTTTTACGATTAATTCACCTCTTTTGAATAGCTAATATTTGCCAGAGAATCACAGCACCAAGCAAGTCTATTTCATCTAAGCCCATATATATGCATGTGTGTGTATAAATATATATGAGTACACAAATAAAACTGAAATTCGCCCCCAACAAGTGATCTAAAATC